CTTAATGCGATTATGGCTGACGTCCACCTCCAGCGATGTCAACGAACCGACCTGTAACGATATTTTGTAGGTTAATGTGGTCAGTAACGTGTGTGCGGGGTGAGGGCTTGTTATGCAATCTTTCTGCGATGGTACCTGATCGAAATAGTCAAAGTCGAAGGAGGGCAGCGAATTGTAGGCCAGATCTAGTTTTTCTAGCTCCGGGAGGTTCTGGAATGAGAATTATTGGAATAAAATTAGATAAATTAGTAGGGAGAGTGGTTTTGGAGAAAATCATATGCAGAGGACACAAGTTCAACCGACGTCATTAATTTAGAAGACATTTAAGGCGGTTTCCAGAGATCTTCTAAAGCTTGGCCCAAATGCCTTTGTCGATAAGCTACAACCCGATTGTAATTAGTTCTATCATTCGGTGGAAGCTAACGATTTTAAATTGGCTCACTATTTGACTAGCCAATTGGTCCAAGCAAATCGATTAACGTACCCCATTCTAGTCGAAATTCTAGTACTAAACTATGTTTGTTTTGATTCGCTATGAAAGTTTGACAGATAAAATTGAGGGGTTCGTGGATTTTCCTATGTTTCGAGGGGTGCATCGATTAGCTTGGGACCGAAGAGAGTACCAGAGCTGAGCCAAAAAGTTGAGCACGTTTCTTCGGGACCTTCTGGTCTTAGAGTTACCTCTATGGTTCTATTATGTGCATTAGTTCACTTGATTATATTGAGTATTGTGCCGTAGTCAGGAATTAACACCTTCACAAGGGTGTGCACCGTATTGGAGCTGCATTTTGTTCAATTTTACCTACGATGCTCAACGATTACAATACGATCTGAAACAATCTTGTTTTTGGTTAATCAATTTGAACTTTATATGCGATCAAAACCGAGATCAAAGCAATGAATTTAGAGCAATTTTCTATAGGGGAAAATCCCTTGTGGTGCATTTATTATAAAGGGCTGTATGGAGATCGAAGCGAAGTGAAAATCTCATATAAAATACTACATTAATTTGTCACCTTCGTGAAAAATTTAATTCGCAAATATTTCACTTCGCTTGGAACTGTAAACAGATACGATCCAGCGAAATCGAATGTTGTGGATCGCATCTTTTTCACCTAGGTACGTATACTTTATTCACGCATGCAGCTGCTCATGAAAAAAAGCAGCAAAGTGGAATGGTGACGTTTCGATAAGGAGCGTATCTGTCAGATTTTGACTTCACCGGAGGTGTAAACTGAATGATTTCACTTCACGTGAAATATGAACTGTGAAAAGAGCAAATTGAGAAATGATCCACAAGCATTTTTCACATCCATTTTTGCTAGCGAAATTTCATGATTTTTCACGTGCTTCAAATTTCACTTCGCTTCGATCTGTAAACTAGGCTTTTCACGAGCATGTACATGCGTGAAAAAGAAAACGTAAGCGAAAAAGATGCGATCCACAACATCTAATTTCGCTGGTTCGTATCTGGGCTGTGTTCCATTTGGTGAATTTTCCCTTAAGCCTAGTATACAGATCGAAGCGAAACGAAAATTGAAGCACGCGAAAAATCATGAAATTTCGCTAGCGAACAAGGTTGTCAAAAAATGTTTGTGGAACATTTTCCAGTTTCCTTTTTTCGCAGTTTACAGTTCATGTGAAACGAAATTGGTCAGTTTACACCTCCGGTGAAGTGAAAATCTGACAGATACGCTCTTTCTCGAAACGTCAACTTTTCGCTTACCTGCTGCTCTTTTCGCTAGCGCTGCATGCGCGAAAAAAATGAATGTAAGCGAAAAAGATACGATCCACAAAATAAGATTTCGCTGGATCGTATCTGTTTACAGTTCAAATCGAAGCGAATTATTTGCCAATTGCGTTTTTCGCGCAGGTGAAAAATGTAGTATTTTGTATGAGATTTTCGCTTCGCTTGGATACAGGCCTTTAAATTATACAGATGATTTTTTTTTTCAAATACAGCTGCTATTGTACCACAATAATTTCTGATCGACCAGGAATCAATTTTTATAAACACCGTCCCGAAAATCGGAATTCAACATAAGAGGGATTTTCTGCCATAATAATTTATTTTAGAAGTGTTAAATTTAAGTTACAATTCCCCGGAACACTGTCCAAGCGAAGTGAAATGTTTGCGAATTGCCATTTTTCACGCAGGTGAAAAATCTCAGCAGTACTTTGTATGAGATTTTAACGTCGCTTCGATCTCTCTACAGGCCATTTAATATGAAAAGTTCTCTGATTGCCTCGCCGTCCCGCGGAAACCTTACAAATTCACCCCAATTCGATTGTATGGTGCGCATAGAGTTGTGCGCCATTGCCATATGTTGTCTCATCATTTCGCTCACCCCCCGGTTCGCTTGGCGCTTTTGACAAGCAGCACATTTTCAAAACAAACGAGCTCCGCGAAGCACATGTGTTTATCGTTGCTGCGCCGGTGCTGTTGAATTTGTTTGCAATATAATTAGTTTCTTCCCCGTAATTTCCATCGAATAAAGGTCCCAAAATGACCGATTTCGACGTCCACGGTGATGATTCCGATTCCAGCTACGTGTCCTACGACGAGGATGACGAGGTAAGTGCTCCAACCGCTGGTACCGATTCGCGGATTAATCCATCAATGTTCTTCCATTTCACTTGCAGCTACGGGAAGCCCTGGCCAAGGGACTGCTCAAACCCGGTCTCAACGTCATAGCCAAGGACAGGACGGAACTGGTGAACAATCCCGCCAAGCTGAAAAGTGCCCTGGAATCGATGATCCTGAAAGCACCGTGGGTTGAGCGGTTGGATCTGGTGAACGAGTTGGCTCCCATCACTCCGGAGCTGGCCATTCAAATCGAAAAGCACGAACAGAAACGCGAAAACCAGTTCAAGGGAAACAAAAAGATACCCTACGTCGCACCGGGGCAGGACGCGGTTCTGAATGATTTCAAGCGGGAAATTCTGTTCCACCGACAGGCCCAGGCTGCCGCGGTGGAGGGAATCAAGCGTTTGCACGACATGGGAATCGTGACTAAACGACCGGACGATTACTTTGCCGAGATGGCAAAGACCGACGAGCACATGCAGCGCATCCGGAAGGTGCTGCTGGCCAAGCAGGAAGGTATCGCGAAATCCGAACGAACACGGCAACTGCGCGAACAGCGTCGTATTGGTAAATTAATCCAACGACAGGCGACGGAGAAGCGAGACGAAGAGCGCCGAAAGATGTTGGACGATATCAAAAAGTTCCGCAAGGGCAAGCTGTCCAATTTGGACTTTTTGGATGACGACGAGGAAGGTGGCAAGAAAAATAAGAAGAAGGGTTCGACCCGAGGTGCTGCTGGCAAAAAGCAAGTCAATTCCAAGCGAGTGGCCAAAAATTCCAAGTTCGGTTTCGGTGGACGGAAGAAGGGATCGAAGCGAAACGATAAGAAGTCGTTCCTCGGAGACGGTCCAAAGAGGAAGGCTGGTGGCGGTGGTGGTGGCGCCGGAGGTAACAAGCGCATGGGTAAGAGCAGGCGTGCGCAGGTCAAGAATAGAGGTAAGTAAGGGGAAGCATTTAATTTGATTAAATACAGTTTTTTTTCGTCTAAGATTAACACTGACGTTGAATTTAACAATTTGAGAACTCACCTGGAATGCCTCGTCCGCTATCTTGCTCAGTTTGTTGCCCCTCAGATTCAGCAGCTTCAGGTCGTCCAGATTCATAAACGCTCGCTTTTCGATCGTCTCGATCCGGTTGTCGTCCAGATAGATGGCGTTCAGGTCTTCCAGATCCACAAATGAGTGCGTCTGCATCTGCTTGAGGTTGTTGTATCGCAGCGAAATCATCGTCAGTTTGGTGTGGATGTCCGACTGGAAGGTGCCCTTCTGCAGGCTATCGATCTGGTTGTCGTGCAGTTCCAGACTAACGAGATTCTTCATAAAGTGGAAACTGTTATCGTTGAGCGTTTTCAGCTTATTGTTGCTCAGATCAAGCGCTTCCAGGGCCGTCAGTTGGCGGAATGATTCGTGCGGAATTTGCAACAACTGCATGCCCAAACCGTGGGAAATGCGAAGCGAAACCAGGGTGTGACCGATTTCGTTGAAGGCATTCGCTTCGATGCTGTCGATTCGGTTTTCACTGAGATCCAGCCGCTTCAGGCCGCGCAGGTTGGTGAAGGCTCGGTTTTTGATGGACTTTAGACCGGCGCGGGTAATTTTGAGTTCCTCCAGTTCGGGGCTGAAGTCGGTGAAGTCTTCGGCGTTCAGCGACATGGATTGGAGGTGAGACGTCGCGAGCGAGCGGAGGTTCTTCATGGTGGACAGTTCCTTCAGGGTGAAGGGCTGATTTTGGTTACCGGTCGTGTCCAGTTTGTAGAGGTTGAGACCGGCGAAGGGGGAGGTGTTTCGCTGGTCGAACTGCTTGATGACGTTGTCCTTGAGGTTCAGGAATCTGTTTGGGAGAAAAGGTATACATTGAGTTGGAATCGTTTTAAAATTGGTGTTGTGAACGAGAAATGATTGGAAAAAAAAAGATTTTTTAGTAGTTGCACAAAGTTGATTGATTCTGTTTCAAATTTCCTAAAATTACTCGATGTTTATGAACTGTGTGGTGCCGAGTGCGGCCCTGTTTTATGGTTCCTAATAAAAAGAGTATAAATGTAAAATGATTAATTAGTAAAGTACGGGCCTGGGTGAGTAAATAGCGGGCAGTGAAGGTACGCGAGGAGTGTAGTGAAAACGTCGAGAATAAACACTTTGTAAAGCGTATGTAAATTGAAGTCCCTTTATTATTTATCACAACATCTCGATTATTACATTGGCGACGAGGTATAACTGGACAGGTAAGAACATTGAAATGCATGAAAATCTAAGCGAGAGACAGACTCTATTTGTTTACTCAAACCGATGTTTGTGGGGAGGAAGTTGAGGTTACGTTTACAATGTTTTTTTTCTGTTGAAGGTAACGTCGTCTTGTTTGTGTATTTTGGAAAGCTTATTGACTGCCGAAGAGCAGTGAGTAAAAACAAATATCGTCGCTGGAAGCGATAGGCTACAGGGTAGCGACTGCTGAAACAGCAGTGGTTCGAGTTTTGTCGCTGGAAGCGATAGGCTACACAGTAGCGGCTGTGACAGCGGATAATCGTCACTGGATGTGATAAGCTACGATTAAGTAGCGGCTGTACAGTGGGTGAGGGTAAAAAAAAAGTTACCAGGTAGCTGACGACGGGCTATAGACTGCAATTAAACCAAGTACCTGCTTGGTAAGAACTAATACGCGAGACAGTAATAATATGAATCATCGTTAACTTTCTATAAACTGTTATTTTAGGATCAGACAGATCGATTATGGAAAAGTGGGAGATACAGCCCTTCAAGTTCAAGACTTTCCCTCGTAACACTGTTCGTAATGAGTGGGTTAAGTTTAAACGAAACTTTGAGTATATAGTTGCGGCATCGGGGGAGACCGATAAAACACGCATCAAGAATCTTTTCCTAGCTAGAGCTGGGCCGGACCTTCAGGAGGTGTTTACTTCAATTCCCGGCGCGGATGTGACTGCAGATAAGGAGAAGAATATAGATCCGTACGCTGTCGCTATACAGAAGCTAGACGCTTACTTTTCACCTAAGCAGCACGAAACGTTCGAACGGAACGTTTTCTGGACGCTTAAACCGAATCATGAAGAGCCATTGGAGAAATTCATGTTGCGTTGCCAGGATCAGGCCAGTAAGTGCAATTTCGGAAGTACTGCGCAGGAGAGCAGGGCAATAAGTGTTATTGATAAGGTCATCTTATTTGCCCCGAGCGATTTGAAAGAGCAGCTTTTGCAAAAGGATTCTCTCAACATAGATGAAGTCGCGAAAATCGTTAGTTCGTACGAATCTGTGAAACACCAGGCACAGCTGATGAATCTTCCATTAACTGGGTTTTCGGAGTCTTTTGATATCAATGCTGGCGAAAGAAATAACGTCAACAAAATTCGAAACATCCCGATCAGAGAATGCATGAGATGCGGAAAAAGGGATCATTTTGCCAATGATCCGAACTGTCCTGCACGTGGTAGAGAGTGCATAAAGTGCAAACGGATTGGTCATTTTGCAGCACGATGTCGAACCCCTGCAGGAAAACGAAAGTATGCTGAAGAACCTAGACCCGGCCCTAGCAAAGGATTCAAGCGACAACGCATACATGAGATCGAAACCGAAGAGGAAAGGAAAGATCGGAGTTTCATATTTAGCATAAACGATGGAGGAGAATTTCTGTGGCTTAAGCTTGGGGGAGTGACGTTGCAACTATTGATTGACTCTGGCTGTAAGAAGAATATTATCAATGAAAAGGCCTGGGTGTACATGAAGAACAATGGAGCAAAGGTTTGGAACCAGGAGAAGCACTGCACCGAAGTTTTTCTACCATATGGCAAGGAAGCAAAACCGTTGTCCGTTCTTGGCAAATTTGACGCAAATATCTCCGTAGACGATGGAGGAAAAACCATCGAACAGGTTGCGACATTCTACGTTGTGGTTGGAGGTCAGCAATGCTTACTGGGTCGTGCCACAGCCATGAGTCTGGGTGTTTTGGTGATTGGATTACCGAGTACACACGGAGTTAGTATGGTTGAGTACACACAAAAACACCCGTTTCCCAAGATAAAAGGCGTTCAAGTTGAGATTCCTATTGATAAGTCTGTCGTTCCGGTGTGTCAACATCCTCACCGTCCTCCTATTGCTCTTTTATCAAAAATTGAAGAGAAACTGACGTCTTTGCTTATTAGTGATATTATCGAACCTGTTCAAGGTGGATGTCAGTGGGTTTCACCTTTGGTAACTGTGGTTAAAGATAATGGGGATCTTCGGCTATGTGTCGATATGCGACGAGCGAACGTTGCGATCTTGCGTGAGCGCCATATCATGCCAACAATTGAGGACTTTTTGCCACGGTTCACGTCAGCAAGATATTTTAGCCGGTTAGATATCAAGGAGGCTTTCCATCAAGTGGAGTTGAAGGAAAAGAGTCGTTACATAACAACCTTCATAACCCACATGGGTCTTTTCCGATACAAGCGGCTGATGTACGGAATTGTTATTGCTCCAGAAATATTCCAACGAATCATGGAACAAATTTTGAGCAGCTGTAAGCAAACGGTAAATTTTATTGATGACATCCTTGTTTTCGGCAGCACCGAGGAAGAGCACGATGTGGAACTAAAATTAGTGTTATCGGTTTTGAACGAACATGGAATTCTCCTGAACCAGGAGAAATGTTTGTTTAAGGTGGACCGCTTAGACTTTCTCGGACACACAATTTCTTCAGATGGTATCAAACCCTCGAACAGTAAGGTTGAAGCGCTTCAATGCTTTCGTACACCAATCACCTCAGAAGAAGTCCGAAGTTTCCTCGGATTAGTTACGTATGTCGGACGATTCCTTCCAAATCTAGCAACAATAACGGCTCCTCTTCGGGAATTGATCCGATCCGGCATTAAGTTCTCGAGGGGTAAAGACCAAGAGGAATCTTTCGTTAAACGTAAGGATATGATTGGTAACGTTCAGCATCTGTACTTTTTCGATAATACACATACAGTGGCTCTTGGAGCTGTGTTGATTCAATTTGAAGGACCAACGGATTGCCAGCCTCGTCCGATCGCTAGCAAAAGTTTAACATCCACGGAGCGCAGATATTGCCAGACCGAGAAAGAGGCGTTGGCCTTGGTTTGGTCGGTTGAGCGATTTTCAATATACCTGTACGGAAGAACATTTGAGCTGGAAACGGACCATAAACCATTGGAAGCGATTTTTCAACCAACTTCTCGGCCATGTGCTCGAATTGAAAGATGGGTGCTGCGTCTCCAATCCTTTTCTTTTGTAGTAAAGTACCGCAAAGGATCGTCCAACTTGGCTGATCCCTTGTCTCGTCTCGTTGAAAACCCGTCTTCCGAGACCTTTGACAAGCAGCAGTATTTAATCTGTTGAGTAAATATATTATTAAGCTTGTCGCGGTACATATAACAATAATATCAATAAATGAGCTAGTAATTGCAATGATCCCAACACTGTCACGTTCTGTCATGGCAAAAAAAAAATCGATAAGATTTGGAAGAAGATCTCTTTCATTGTTTTCTCATCCGATGATAGTGTCAGAAGTATCTCTGTAAATATCGCTTGAGATCTTTCATTGAAAATGAGATTTACCAGCCCTGCTCCGAGAGCAATTTCAGAGAACTTACGACGAGAAATTCAGAGAACTTCCAAGGAGAAGTTTAGAGCATCTGACAAGAACTCAGAGAAGAAGTTCTGAGAACTTTCAGCATCAAGTTCAGAAAAATTTCGATGAAATTTTTTGCAAATTTGTAGCTTTCTCGTTCAGAGAACTACTGCCGAAAAGTTCAGAAAACACCCGAGGATATGTTTAGAGAACTTCCGCCAATAAGTTCAGAGAACTTCCGAGCAGAAGTTCAGAAAACTTCTGAAGAGAAGTTCAGATAAATTCCGAGGAGATGTCAGAGAAATTCCAAGAAGAGACATTCTAAGAAATTCAGAGAACTTCCGACGAAAAGTTCAAAAAAATTCCATGGAGAGGTTTTGGCAACTTCTGACGAGAAGTTCAGAAATCTTTCGAGAGGAAATTCCGAAGAGAATCTCAGAGAAGGTTTCTGAACATCTAGTCGGAAGTTCTCTAAACCTCTCCATGGAAATACGTTGAACTTTTCATTGCAAGTCCTCTGAACTTTTCGTCAGTAGTTCTATGAACTTCTCGTCGAAACATGTCGGAAGTTCCGTAAACTTGTCTGAAGTTCCGTGACGTTCTCGAGTTTCCTGAAGTTCAGAGAACTTCCACGAAGAAGTTCCGAGAACATTCTACTATAAATTCATAGAACTTCCAACAAGAACTTCAGAGACCGACGAGATATTCAGATAACTTCTGAGGATAGGTTCAGAGAACTTCCGAGTAGAAGTTCAGAGATCTTCCAAGGAGAAGTTCCGAGGAGAAACTCAGAGAACTTCCGAGGAGAGGATCTTCTTCTTCTTCTTCTTCGCATTTCAAGCTTATTGCATTTCGCATATTAGCTTATTGCGTGCTCTCAACTTAGTGTTCTAGATGCACTTCCACAGTTATTAATTGAGAGCTTTCGATGCCTGTACCATTTTGGCATTGATATGATTGTGTGGCAAGTCCAATCATACTTCTATGCCCAGGGAAGTCGAGAAATTTTCCAACCCGAAAAATTCCTAGACCGAACCGGGAATCGAACCCAGCCACCTCCAGCATGGTCTTGCTTTGTAGCTGCGCCTTTACCGACTGAGCTAAGGGAGGCCCCAAGAGGAGAGGATCTCATAGCTTCAAAGAAGAGGATCAGAGAACCTTCGACGAATTCTTCTTCTTTCTTTTACTTAACGTCGGTCTCTGTTCCATTGATCAGTTCACGAAGATTTGCCGCACTCTTCTCTCACCCGTAAGTTTTGACAGTTTTGGGTGGTTTGTTTTGGCTCCCATTCGTTGCTATCTCTTTTACTCAGAAGCAAAATGATAGGGAGCAAAAAGTGAGGTTAGGGACCGTGCACTGATCTATAGGGTTCGACACAGACAACCAGACATAAGACATTGAATATTTCTCACTGTAAAACATCGTCGCTAAAACATTACCGACATCTGTTGAATACACTGTGGTGGGTAGTACACTGAACAGATGGCGGTGTGTAAACGTCAAACGCAAGGGAATTGACTATGCGCGCCACAGGTGGCGGTACTACCAACTACGATACTTTTAAATTGACCGTTAAATGCTTGTTCGATGAACAACTTGCGAGAGTTATGTCTGTTTGTCTATGACACTAGTTTCATGTTTGCGTTGAATATTCAACTATCGCAACTAAGATCAGTTCATCGTTTTTTCCCTTCTGAACGTGATAAAATTTACGGTATTTTGCGGGAAATTTAGAAATTAATATTTAATATTTATACAGTGGTGACCCGATTTTGTCAGCCCCCGATTTTGTCTACCCCCGATTTTGTCTACCCCCGATTTTGTCAGCTTTTTGACCCGATTTTGTCAGCCTATATGATTCAATCCCCCTTATTCTGCGAGTCACGTGACTCTCTCTCACCGGTGAGGTGACAATAGTCACCTCGTGTGAGGTGACTCTCCATTTGATTTACATGGAGAGTCACCTCACACGAGGTGACAATTGTCACCTCACCGGTGACAGAGAGTCACGTGACTCGCAGAATAAGGGGGAATTAGTTTTGGTTGAGGTGGACTGTTTTGTACAGTCGTATTCGTATTTTATTGATTGTCTAGCTCAGTAATGACATTTTTCGAGGATTAAATGTGCAGTGGTGGCAAGATCAAAGCAGGGGGAGGGGGGTTGAGGGGCTAGTTGAAAATGATGTACGTTATGCATGTGTTTTTTTTTCTTATTTTAATAGTAAGGTTTAGGAAAGCTTCAAGAAGCCTAGCCTGTAGTGAAGTTGGCACGGTATGGTATCCACTAGTTGCCTAGTATAGCTCCACTAAAACCCATTCCTTACTCTCTCCTCTGCCTGGATCCCCCCGGGACCACTGTAAAGCGACTACTTCGGGGGGTGGCTGTGCTCATGCACTTGTCGTACTCTCAGCGCTAGCTGGCATTGCTAGATCGCTGCCCTTCTCTCCAATTAGGCTGCAGCTCCGACATAATCTGCGTGACTGCCCTGCTGACGGCATTCCAAGTGCCCTCCTCTCGACACATTTCAACGACGACATTCTCCACGTTAAGGACGGGCATCTCCGTTCGCACTGCCTCGAACCGTGGACAGTCGAAGACCACATGCTCCGGCGTTTCATCGACGTTGCCACACTCCGGACAGAGGGGTGACGCTGCGTGTCCGAACCGATGCAGGTATTTCCTGAAGCAGCCGTGGCCAGACAGGAACTGCGTTAGGTGGAAATTGACTTCTCCGTGTTTTCTGTTCGCCCAGGTCGAAAGAATCGGTATTAGTCTTTGTGTCCATCTACCGTTCTCCGTCGTGTTCCACTCCTGTTGCCACTTAGCCAATGACTCCACTCTCACAACTTTCCGTACTCTTCCGGCTTCTCTCCGCCTGTAGCACTCGCTGTCCTCCGCCAGGGTGATGCCGATTGGGATCATACCGGCGATAACGCATATTGCTTCCGACAAGATGGTTCTGTACGCACTCACGACTCGCATGGCCATGAGCCGGAACGTACTGCTCAGTTTCCTTTGGTTCTGCTTCGTTTCCAGCGCTGGAGCCCAGGCTGGACCTCCATATCTCAGTATCGATGATGACACGCTGGCCAGAAGACGCCTCTTGCTACTGCTGGGACCAGCGTTGTTCGGCATGATTCTAGCTATCGCGTTGATGGCCTTCGAAGCCTTCTCACAGGCATATTCGACGTGGCTGTTGAAGTTTAGCCGGTCATCGATCATCACTCCCAGGTATTTTAACACACGCTTCGAGGCTATGGTGTGCTCCCCGACGGTGATTTCTGCCCGCTGTACCGCTTTACAGTTACTGACCAATAACACTTCCGTTTTGTGGTGGGCTATCTGCAGCTTCGCTCCTTGCATCCAGTTACCAATCATGTCGATTGCCTCGGTTGACAACACTTCCACCTCTTCCAGCGTCTCGCCTGTTACCGTCAAGACGAAGTCGTCCGCAAAGCCAACGATCTCAACTCCTTTGGGCAGTTTCAGCGTTAGCACGCCGTTGTACATCCCATTCCAGAGCGTTGGACCAAGGATGGAGCCTTGTGGAACTCCCGCTGTGATCCTAATCGATCTCAGTCCCATGTCTGTCTCGTAGACCAGAACCCGGTTCTGGAAATAACTCCTCAGGATCCTGCACAGGTAGTCAGGGACCCTCATTCTATGCAGTGCTTCGGCGATGGCCTCCCAGCTGGCGCTGTTGAACGCATTCTTGACGTCGATCGTTATCATGGCGCAATACGATCTCCTCTCCGCTTCTGTTTGGACGCCTTCTCAGCTCTCTCGACCACTGTCCGAATTGCATCCACCACTCTCCGTGTACTTCATCAGCCTGTTTAGGATGATCCTCTCCAAGGGTTTTCCGAGTGTATCCAGCAGGCATATAGGCCTGTACGATGCTGGATCCCCCGGCGGTTTTCCTGGTTTCGGCAGCAACACTAGCTTCTGTATCTTCCACCAGTCAGGGAAGTGAACCTCGTTCAGGCATTTCATTTTGGGGAT